TAACCAAATACACAGACTAAATTGGTTTGGGCACAAGAGAGCCCCAAAGAGTACTAAAATGGTTTTTAGAAATAATCCCTCTTTCATCTGTTTCCCATAGGGCTAGGCCACATGGTGTTACCCAGGACCTGGTGCTACCTGTTTAACTTTGGGGGCAATTGGATAAGTGGACAATAGAGATACTGTAGATGTTCGTTTGAAAAACTACTATAATCTTTTATTTTAAGATTATATCGTAGGAGTCCTAATTTGAACAACCTTTAATGTTCACATGAGGAAAACTGCACTTAATCTCGATTTGGAGGACTTTCTTGCGCCGCAAGATAAAACCATAATGAAAAGAACCTTAAATGATAAATCTATCACAAGGTTCAAAGAACTAATACAGCCTATGTTGAATATTGCTGCAGGTGAACCTGTTCACAGCTGCTGCAGTCCCTCAGTCATTGACCAAACGGTGGACAACACTATGGAGTCTTTAAAATCTGCATTAAATGCAGCAGCTCCTTTAAAACAGAAAACTATTAGGATTAGATCATCGTCGCCCTGGTACAGTGTTCAACTCCACACTTAAAGTTAAACAGGAGAGGCTATATCGCCACTCCCACTCTGAGCCTGTCCACAGGGAGTGGAAAGCAGGTCTCCGAAACTACAAGAATGCCCTTCGCAGGGCTCGAACTCAATACTATTCAACTTTAATAGAAGCAAATAAAAATAACAGTAGATTTTTGTTTAGCACCGTCGCTAAACTCCCAAACTGTCATAGCGCAATCGAGCCTAAAATTCCAAGCTCACTGAGCAGTGTCGACTTTCTCCACTTCTTTAATAATAAAATTACATCCATCCGTGACAAACTGGAGGAGGTTACTCCTGCTGTTGGTAGTGGACAGGTTGAAGCGGCATACGTGACTTCCCACTTAGACTCTTCAGTGGGCCTCGATAAATTCATGGCTGTGAGCCAAGCAGAGGTGATCTCTGTGGTCACATCCTCAAAAGCCTCAACTTGCATGTTAGACGCAATCCCGACTTGGCTCTTCAAAGACCTATTATATTTACGATTGAGCCTATCGTAAATATAATAAACGCATCCATACAATGTGGCTATGTCCCACAAGCTTTTAAAACCGCGGTAATCAAACCCATTCTGAAGAAAACAAACCTGGATCCAGAAATACTTACAAACTACAGACCGATCTCGAACCTCACTTTCATATCTAAAATCCTGGAAAAGCTTATAGCTGAGCAGCTTTGCTGCCACCTGCAGGAAAATAATATGTTTGAAGTCTTTCAATCAGGATTCAGAGCTCATCATAGACTGAAACGGCACTAGTCAAAGTCACAAATGACTTACTACTAGCTGCTGATAATGGACAACTGTCAGTGCTGGTCCTACTGGATCTTAGTGCTGCATTTCACACAATAGACCACAGCATTCTACTGCAGAGGCTAGAATGTGACATAGGTCTTAGAGGAACAGCCCTTGGCTGGTTTAAATCCTATTTATCAGATCGGTATCACTTCGTCAACGTAAATCAGAACTCGTCGCCTTATTCTGGAGTAGAATTCGGTGTGCCGCAGGGTTCGGTACTCGGACCGATTCTTTTCACTCTCTACATGCTGCCGTTAGGAAACATTATTAAAAAGCATGGAATTAATTTCCACTGCTATGCAGATGACACACAGCTTTATCTGTCGATGAAGCCAAATCAGACAGATCAGCTAGAAAAGCTCAGTGCCTGCATAAAGGACCTTAAAACGTGGATGACTCTTAACTTCCTACTTCTCAACCCGGAGAAGACAGAAGTGATCCTACTCGGTCCATAGCGCCTGCGTGACTCCCTTACTGACCAGATAATCACTCTCGACCATGTCAGTATTATACCCAGAAACACTGTGAGGAATCTTGGAGTCATTTTTGACGAAGAACTCTCCTTCAAGGCTTACATAAGCCAAGCGACTAAAACGGCGTACTTCCACTTACGGAACATCGCTAAAATCAGAAATTTCCTTCCTAAAAGTGACGCGGAAAAACGTATTCACCTCAAGACTTGACAACTGTAACGCGTTATTGGCAGCATGCCCTAAAACCTCTTTGAAGAGCTTCCAGCTCGTTCAGAATACAGCAGCTAGGATCTTAACAGGTACCAAAAGGAGGGAGCCCTAAAATCAGTCCACTGGCTTCCTGTGGAGTACAGAATAAAGTTTAAAATCCTTCTCTTAACATATAAAGCCATAAATGGCTTGGCTCCTTCCTATCTCCAAGACACGTTAGTGTCGTATCAACCAAGTCGAGCGTTGCGCTCACAAAACGCCAGACGTCTGGTGGTTCCTAAGGTCTCCAAAATCACTGTTGGCGGCAGAGAATTTAGCTCCAAGCTCCTTTACTGTGGAATCAGCTTCCCATTTATGTTAAGGAAGCAGATACGGTCTCCACATTCAAGGCCAGGCTTAAAGCACTCTACTTTAATTTAGCATATAATTAGGTAATATTTAATATATGGTGCATATATTATATATATATGCTGTATTATGTTATATATTATGTTATATATTATACAATATATGTATTATGTTGTGTATTGTGTTATGTTGTATATTATGTTATATATTATGTTGTATGTTATGTTATGTATTATATATGATATATATGGTATGTATGGTATATATGATGTATATGATATATAATATATAATTAGGTTTGCTTGGATTGGTTTGGACACCTGGTGTATGAATCTTGGTGCTGTAGCCGAGACTAGCCTAGCCGTGGCTGCTGCTGTCTCACCTCTTTTCAGATACGCTCTCTTTATCCAAGGCTAGGTTTAAAACAGTCCTCTTTAGTTTAGCATATGGCTAGGAAGGTAAGACTCAGGGAAGGCTAAACTCCTCAGACTGTCAGTCAAGCTGCATAGGGAGTCAGTTTGCTGGGAGAAGTATGGTAACTTGAACACTATCCTCTCCTCCTTCCTACTTTATCTGTTTAGCATTATTAGGATTAGGACTAGTTTATTCATTGCTATTCACCCGTTGTCCCATTGTCTGTTTCATGGTACAATGACAGGACCTCTGAGCCTGGCCTCCTCCATCTACACCTGCGGACTGCCCCGCCCGACCCGCCTTGGAGTGCTTCAGTCCTGCGCCGGACCTGTCCACGTTCAGCGGCCACTGGTCCACGTTCTGTGGCTGTCTGCTGTGAGCCACTTGAACTCACTTTCTGAAGTTTCTGATGAAAAGTTCATCTTATTTGATATATTAAGTTGATTTGACTTTGAAGTTGTAGTGAACTTCTGAAAGTTCAAGTGGCTCACAACAGACAGTTCCAGTTCCAACTGGAAATTTTATTGTCAGTGAATGCAAAAATCTGAGTAAGGTGAACAATTTTGAGTTGTCGTTTTTACAGTTCACCGAGCTATAGTGAGGTCAACTTATCTGCGTTTGCTCATTTAAATATGTGTTATGGCAACCAGCTGCATTCAACATTTTGAACAAACTAATTTGACCAAAAAAATCACTGTATTTATTTTTACCAACCGTAATCGACAGGGCCAAGTCAAAGTAGCCCTGTATATTCTCTGGGTCAGTCTTAGAAACATTAAGTTTCCCCTCTGGTTCACAGTGTGTGCGGTGGGTGAGTGGATAGCACTCTCGCTTCTTGACACGAAGGTCCTGAGTTCGAATCCCGGTCGGAACAGGGCCTTTCTGTGTGGAATTTGCATGTTCTCTGTGTCTGCATAGGTTTCCTCCGGGTGCTCCGGTTTCCCCTACCCAAGTGACCTTGGTCCATGAAATGCGCTATATAAATAAACATCATGATCTTTTAATGTGGGGGCTAATTTAAACTCAAAATAGTAAGTTATTGTAGGGGACAGTAATCTGAACTTAAAAAAGTAAGTTTTTACAGACTTGAAATTTCCAGTAACTTGAATTTAAACACTTAGTTGGCAGAACTTGGAAAACTTAACTGACACAACTTAATAAGTGTAGTTCTTCAAAACTTGAAGAATTAAGTTAATGCCTTCAACTCAAAAATCCTTCGCAGCTGGTTGCTTTGAAATTTTGAGTTGAACTAACTTTTTCTTTTTTACAGTGTACAAACGTTTTTTATAGAAAATTAAATATAGCTTATAAAGCATCCTGTGCTTGCATTTCCCCAAACCTGACATGCACTTGTCTTGGATGAGGGCCTCCTGCTTGTTTGGCTCCACACACACGCGCAGACACACGTGCACACACACGTGCACACATACGGCCCGCCAAAAATGAAATGGTTCTTAATTTAGTCTGTCCCTGTTTGTCTGTTTCCCCTCCTCAGCGGCACAGTGAGTAGCATGGCTTCACAGAAGGTCATGGGGTTTAGTCCATGGCCTTGAAAGGTTTGCTTGTTCTCCCTGTGTCTTTTGTCTTTTCAGGCCCAGAGACAATGAAGCTGGGTTAATACAATACAATACAATACCATTTATTCTTGTATAGCCCTAGGTCACAACAGAAGTTATCTCAGAGGACTTAACAAAACCATTGAAATCACCAACACAGGTCAGAGAATCAACAGTTAAAACACATGAAAAATATAAAGCACACACACACAAAAATGTCCATACATGTTGTAGAATGCTAAAGTGTCCTGATCATCACCAATCCTTTCTGTTAGACACTAACTGTCCAACAAGACCCTCCTGCATCGACAAGGAAAAACTCTTAAAAAACCCAGTGGGAAAAAGTGAGAAACCTTGGGGAGAACTAGGGAAACCCACAGGGAGGGAGACCCATTTGAGAAAGGGATCCGCTCCTCCGGACGGACAGGCTAATGATCCAGGACCTAAGCTGATGGGGCACTGTTAGTGCAAAACTTTCCATCTGCTGGAGGGGGCGGTGAGCTACTTGTAGCTCCCTGATTTACATATGCACTCTCTCTGGCTCTGTCCTCTGTCCTGCCCTCATGGAACTAAACAACAGGTTCCTCCTGCAGCTCCAGACACTCAGTGCCAGAGCTGTTCCTCCGGGCTCTAATCCAGAGTGAGTCCTGCTCCTAAACCCCTGCAGCGGGACACACGCAGAGGACAAACTCTCCTCCGGGACATCACACCGCTCATAACCTTTGCGGAGGTCACGTCTCTCCCGCACACACACTGCGGCTCATTGACATGCACTGAGCGGACAGAGCTGCGCCATGGTCCCGCTGTCCCGGTACAAGGTGACTGATCCCCCCTCCCTCTGCGATGCGCTATACCGCCGACAACAAACAGCTCTCCTCCCGGACACAGGCTGATGCGTGCGCGATGGATGTGGGCTGTCATTAGCTCTGCGCGCGCACACTACAGAGCAGAGTATAGGTACATTACGGCATATGAAATAATTATTATAATAATAATTTTTAAAAATCAAACACTGAATTTAGTTCAAAGTGTAGAATTTACTAGAAGACTAGAAGCATCTGATGGATAAATGTGCGCTGAAAGTTGAACAGGAATATCATGCATTTCGAAAAATGTCAAATGGACAACTGCTCTTAGAGATCGTGATATTGTGTTGCTTGCAAAAAGATTAAGTCCGTCTTCGTGTGTTAATTGTGATACAACAGTGATTTGAAAAAATCTCACAGCTCCATGGCAAGCACGCACAACAGCAGACAGACTGACAAAGTGGTTCTTAATGTCATATAGCGCTGTTAAGTATGAGGCCTGATGCGCGCGCGCGCACAAATACACACAGACACACACACAGACACACGCACAGACACACACACACACACTGATAAAGTGTCTCTAATGTCAAATGGCACTGTTGCTTTTAGGAGGTCCGACACACAGTTGTGGGACACATACATGTAGGGACATAGTCACGGCTCGAGCTTTGATCAAACGCACGTCAGTTGGTAAATAAGAGTCCTGCACGCACGCGCACGCACGCAAAGACTCACCGTGCAGGCCGAGAGCTCAAGGACATCAGCGCGCGTGCAGACACAATCCCGTTAATCTGCCGCGGAGAGACGCACAAGCGCATCCAGTCCAGCCCGCGGGATGTCGAAGCTCCGCACACCGGCACAAGCGCGCTCCAGCCCTGGGGAAGACTCCACACACAGTCCTGCTGCTGCGGTGGAAGATGGAAGGATGCTGCGGCCCGATGCGGAGACTCCAGGCCCCGCGGATAGGTGGGTGCCGGGTGGATGTCACGCGTGGGTGCTGGGGGTGGAGGTGCTGGAGCTATAGGGGCCGGTACGGGAGGCACACGCAGCGGAGAAGAACCGAAGATGCGGGGAGACCGTGCGACATGTCCCCGCGCACAGCAGCAGCAGCAGCAGCATCCGCGAGACCGAGAGAGGGAGGGGAGAGGGGGCTGCGTCACACACCGGCCCCTGACGTGATGACGACACACGCGGTCGGCACACATCATGGAGGCAGCCACGGGACTAAAGTTCAACGAGCGTGCGCACAAATACACACACACACACACACCCCATGGATGCAAGAAGATGGAAACACCATATTTAGAATTCCTGTACATTAAGGCTTTTGGATATTGAAAAAATTACCTTATGAAGCATTCAAAAAAATTGACAACGCATGGTCGACATGCCAGTTCAGCATTGGCCTAGAGAGAGGCCAAAAGAATCAAAGGATTACAATGGACAAAAATAAATGACTTTTGAATAATTCCTTTCAGGCCTCGTTTAGACGGAAACGCTGTGGAGACTCTGCGGAGATGCTGCCGAGACGCAGCAAAGCAATTGGCAAAAACGACCAGGCTCCGTATTTGAAGTGCTAGGCGTCTACACGGCTGCAGAAAACGATGTTGTTCACACCATCTCTGTGTGAAAGAAAGACCAAACATATACCCGAGTACACTCACCGATCACTTTATTAGGTACACCTATCCAACTCCACTATAATGCAAATTCCTAATCAGCCAATTACATGGCAGCAACTCAATGCATTTAGGCATGTAATGGTCAAGACGATCAGCTGCAGTTCAAACCGAGCATCAAAATGGGGAAGAAAGGTGATTTAAGTGACTTTGAATGTGGCATGGTTGTTGGTGCCAGATGGGCTGGTCTGAGTATTTCAGAAACTTCTGATGTATTGAGATTTTCACACACAATTATCTCAAGGGTTTACAAAGAATGGTCCAAAAAAGAGCGGCAGTTTGGATGGTAAGGTCAGAATTTGGAGTCAACAACATGAAAGCATGGCTCCTTCCTGCCTTGTATCAACGGTTCAGGTGGTGGGGGTGGAATGGTGTGGGGGATATTTTCTTGGCACTCTTTGAGTGTCATAAGCATCGTTGCCACAGCCCACCTGAGTATTGTTGCTATTCTTAACTTTGTGACTGTTTCTGGTTCTATATGTAGTTTATTAGTATGTCATTCTTGTTATGCAATTATAGTTTAACTATCAAATGTAGATATAACATGATTGGTTTTGGCATTTTTGGTTGCTTGGTAACCAACATTTGATTGCAGTTAAAGGCCTTTTTCTCCGAGGTGTTGGTCCTGAATGGGTCTTCAACAGGTCCAAGTCATAGTCCGATTTCAGCATATTCAGCAAACTGTTTAGTTCTTTTTGCTGTGTTGAGTTATATTAGTTTTAGCACTTTAACACAGTAAAAGTGAGTGAGTTAATTAATAACTTTTAATAAAACTTGGAAAAACTAAACACATTTGATTGGGAGCATGCTCTGGGAGTTCTAGTAGTTTTAAAATTTGCCCTGTTCCCACCGCTGCCGCATTGTTGCAGCGTTGTTGCGTTTTGGAAGTCTGTGTATAAAAATCTGCTTCATGACTGAGAAGTATAGAAAGAATCAAGCAGCTCAAAAATTAACATCGGCAATGTACTGGAGAGTTTCCAGCTATTACTGGAAGTATCATCTCTAAAATCATTGCAGACATGAATACGCAGTCGCACTCATAAATTAAACATCAGTTTAAATGGTTAAGAACTTTAATACATACATAAGAGTCATTCTTGACTCTTAACTTTATACAGCAAGCAAAAAGGGTCACTGACAACATAACATTTATCTCTCAAACTTCAGACACATAAGAGGCAACCTGACAGCCGAGGAAGCCACACTATATTTCACTTTGGAGAGACCCAAGAGGGAAAATGCAGTTAGAAGTTTGTTGATTGAGTATGTTTGGCGCCCTAGGCCCGGGAGAGATGCTGATGAGTGCGGCGCTTGCTCGCGCGCATAATCCCCCCCGGGGCCTAGGCACTGGTGACGGCAGAGGCAGTAGGCAAGCACGCTTCGATGAGAGAAGGAGGAGGTGGGGCGGCGGAGGCTTTGCAAACTTCAGAAGGCCGGGAAAGTGGGCGTCTCCGGCTTTTAACTTGCTGTCCTGGTGGTTATTGGTGGATTAGATGTGGGCGTTTTGCTGGTGTAATGAGTAGAGGATGAGCAGGCTTGTAGATCTGGCAGCAGTGGCCGGGTCTACCACAGTGAACGTTCGCGAAGAGCTTCATTTCAATGCAATGATTGTCTCTCTTATGACATTGCTGGGCGGCTGCATGGAAGACCCCATAAAAATCTATTGAAATAACCTATAAAGGCTTAAAATTTTAGAAATAACTAATATAGAGAAGGCACAGCATATTAAATTGGGAGGACTTGATCAAATATGCAGACTTCCTCTTTCTGTACAAGACTCAGCTGAAGTCCTGTCTCCTGGACAATCAGACCCGCCAACATGGCTGACTAGTAGCAATGAGAGCAGGCGTATGAATGCAATGGACATGTGCAATAGATGTTTGTGTGCAATAGATGTTTGTGAGCAATAGATGTTTGTGTGCAATAGACAACTGTGTGCAATAGATGTTTGTGTGCAATAGAGTACTATGTGCAATAGACAACTGTGTGCAATAGATGTTTGTGTGCAAAAGAGTGTTGTGTGCAACTGATATGAATATGTGCAACAGTTTCTTTTTTTGGAGCGACAGTGGCTCAGTTGGTAGAGAATTGGCCTTTGAGTCTGAAGATTGTGGGTTCGAGCCCACCACGAGACCTTCTCCACCACCTCCCACTGAGGTCTGCTGTCGTTGTGTCCATGGGCAAGACACTTACCTCACTTTGCCTGAAGCCCCCGCTGAAAGATCAAGGCTGTGCTCACACTGACAGAGCAGTCATCATCCTGTGGACTCACCCCCTGCAGGAGGATCAGTGAGGGGCTGGTGCTCTGTGAATTGGGTGGCATCTCTGACCCCCACCCCTCCGACCCAGAAATGGATTAAGGGGTAGCAAATGGATGGAGGGTTTCTTTTTTTGAAAATGAATCGCTCTACACTGTGACACTGTGTGTATGAATTCCTGTTGATGTTTTTATTTTGGTGCATTTTTTATATAATCCCCTGTGACCCCGCCCCGCTGGGACTGCAGATGAAAATTAGCCTTTGGTTACAATCTGATGTGTCAACAATATCTTCAACCATTTTTGTTCACTAACATGTACTGTCCCAGTCAATGAAATACATTAATACAAATATGAATACAACCCATCGCAATGACCTGTGATGTGCATGGGGTGTGGAAAACGCACGGAGGAAGTGGTGGCGGGGGCTTTGATGCAGACGGGTTTGTGTATCTACATATATCTACATAAAGTTCTCCAACACAAAACCTCCAGAGACTTGTATCTTCGTTTTCCTGGTCTGTGTGCCTTGTGTCCCCATGATCACTGTATAGCCTCTGATTGGTTGCTTTGGACTTTGCTTGTAAACTCGCCGCAATGCATGATCCGGTTTGATCGCCTCGTACGACTGCCGCACACACACACACACGAACACACATGCTACCACTACAGTACACACATGCTACACACGGCCTAAGCTACAGAACGTCTGTTTTGCAAGCACAGGGCTCGTGTGGTTAATGTGTCTTGGAGGTGGGAAGGAGCCATGCAATTTGTATTGTATTATATTTGGCTTTGTATGTAAAAGTAGGATTTTACATTATATTTTGTACTCCACGGGAAGCCAGTGGAGTGATTTTAACACTGGAGTTATGTGCTCCCTCCTTTTGGTACCTTCTAAAATCCTTGCTGCTGTACTTAATTAGGGCATGCTGTATTTTAAGGCACGCTGCCAGCCAAGCATTACAGTAGTCAAGCCTTCTGGTGACAAAAAAGTGGATTAGTTTTCCCGCATCACTTTTAGGAAGAATATTCCTGATTTTTGCTATGTTGAGCAAGTGGAAATACACCATTTTAGTTTCTTGGTTTATACAAGCCTTGAAGGAGAGCTCTTGGTCAATTACGACTTCAAGATTCCTCACAGTGTTGCTAGGTGCAACGCAAACATTATCGATTGTGATTATCTGATCGGTAAGGGAGTCGGCGCAGACGCTTTGGACCGTGTAGGATCACTTCATCCAAGTTTTCAGGTCTTTTATGTGGGGACTAAGTCTTTTTAACTGATCTGTATGGTTTGGTTTCATCAACAGGTAAAGCTGTGTGTCATCTGCATAGCAGTGGAAGTTAATACCATGCTTGTTAATGATAACAGTACACACATAAGATAAGACTTTAATGATCTCACACTGGAGAAATTTATATGTCACATTTGGCATAGATAGAATCACTCAGATGCAAAAGACAGAAGTGTGCAAACATGTTAAAGGTTAAAAATATAGTCTGTAGAGGATATAATTATGTACAATAAAAAAGTGGCAAACAAAAGAAAGAGTGGAAAAAGCATTGTTTTTTTTAATCCTTGTGCATTGGTGACTTAAAGTGACTTATTGTACAGTCTGACAGTGGTTGGGATAGAGGCCCTGTGGTAGCGCTCCTGAGGGTGTCTCAGTCTTTTACTGAAGGAGCTCTTCAACTGTCCTGTGCAGTGGGAGGTGTTGTCCATGATGGAAGTGACTTTGACTAGCACCCTCCTGTCCCTCACCTCCTCCACAGAGTCCAGGGGGCAGCCCAGAGTGGAGCTGGCCCTCCTGACCAGCTTGTTCAGTCTGCTCCTGTCCCGCTCTGTGCTGCCCGGGGCCCAGCACACGGCAGCGTAATGTATAGCAGAGGCTGCCACAGAGTCATAAAAAGTCCTGAGCAGAGGCTTGCTCACTCCGAAGGACCTCAGCCTCCTCAGAAGGAAGAGGCGACTTTGACCCTTCTTGAACAGGACGTTGGTGTGATGGGACCAGTCCAGTTTATTGTTAATGTGAACACCCAGGTACTTGAAGCTGTCACCAGCTAATTGTCCTCCCCCTGGATGTTCAGCGACGTGTGGGAAAGTGGTTTTCCCCTGAAGTCAATTACCATCTCATTGGTTATACCAGTTCCAGATCGTTCCCCTCAGACACACAGCCCACATTGCGGAGTTGTCGGAGAACGTCTGCAGGTGACAGCTGTGTGTGTCGTATGTGAAGTCTGAAGTGTAGAAGGTGAAGAGAAACGGTGAGAG